CCACGGCGTCCTCTTCCGCACACACAGCCAGCCCAGGCCCTCCACGGTGTCCTCTTCCACACTCAGAGCCAGTCCAGGCCTTCCACGGTGTCCTCTTCCGCACTCAGAGCCAGTCCAGGCCCTCCACGTCGTCCTCTTCCACACTCAGAGACAGTCCAGGCCCTCCATGTCATCCTCTTCCACACTCAGAGCCAGTCCAGGCCCTCCACGTCGTCCTCTTCCGCACTCAGAGCCAGCCCGGGCCCTCCACGGTGTCCTCTTCCACACTCAGAGCCAGTCCGGGCCCTCCACGGTGTCCTCTTCCACACTCAGAGCCAGTCCAGGCCCTCCATGGCGTCCTCTTCCACACACTCGGCCAGCCCAGGCCCTCCATGGCATCCTCTTCCACACTCACGGCCAGCCCAGGCCCTCCACGGCGTCCTCTTCCACACTCAGAGCCAGTCCAGGCCCTCCACGGTGTCCTCTTCCGCACACACAGCCAGTCCAGGCCCTCCACGGCGTCCCCTTCCACACACACGCACACACACGGCCAGCCCGGGCCCTCCACGTCGTCCTCTCCCACACTCACAGCCAGTCCAGGCCCTCCACCCGCCTGTCTGTCTCCTGCCTGCAGTTCCCAGCTGCTGCTCTGATGGAGTTCCTGGCTCTCCTGCGTGGAGCCACCATGGGAGCCTGAAGGAGCAGCAGAACCTGCTACGGCCCAGGCTTTCCTCCAGCCAAGGCTGCTGGTGCTCTCCGGGTCTGGCCTGGGCTTACGAGGTGTCATTAGACTCGTGTGTGCCGTTAGACTCGGTGTACGCAGCTGTGTTGGTGCATCTGCAGTGAGTGCTACCCGACTGGGAGGGCACAGGGCCGACAGTGCGGCAGGTGCCCGGTAGGGTGGCCGGGCCTGGTGCAGTCCTGGTTCTGCCTTTGTCCTGCACTCATGGAGCTCCCTGAGGCTGTGCTCTGATGGACTATGGCTTCTGGGAGCCGCATCGCAGGTCCTGAGTGAGACGCTGCGCTGTCCATCTGCACTCACTGCGTGGTACCCGGAGGTGCAGGGTCCTCGTCGCTCTGGTTGTTGCCAGTCTCTGGGACATTGATAGCTTTGTTCTCTTCCCTGGCAGGATGATGGAGGCTGGACACCTATGATTTGGGCCACAGAGTACAAGCATGTGGACCTCGTGAAGCTGCTGCTGTCCAAGGGCTCCGACATCAACATCCGGGACAACGTGAGTTCCTCACACCCTCCCCAGGAGCAGCATCCTGGAGCGGTGGGGCCGCCTCCTCTGGAAGGTTCTTTTTTCAAAAGCAGAACCCTAGCGCCTGGTGGCGCTGTAGACCTCTTCCTGTCGGCAGCATCGCCCAGCGTGTGCCGTGGCGGTCACGTGCTAGATGCAGATGGAGGGCGTGAGGTCCCAGCAGAGGCTACCCTTGCGGGATCTGTGGGTCCCACGGGCACAGCGCTGCCCTGCTCTCCCTCCTGCTTTTTCATGGGCCCTGGCCTGGGCCTGAGGCTGCTGATCTTGTGTGGGTGCCACAGCACCTCTGGCTCTCCCATTGTTGTTTTGTTTTTTTTTTAAGATGGAGTCTCCCTCTGTCACCCAGGCTAAGTACAGAGGTGTGATCTTGACTCACTGCAACCTCTGCCTCCCGGGTTCAAGTGATTCTCATGCTTCCGCCCCCCGGGTAGTGGGGATTGCAGGTGTGTGCCACTGCGCCCAGCTAATTTTTGTTTTTTGGTTTTTGAGATGGAGTCTGACTCTTGTTGCCCAGGCTGTAATGCAATGGCTTGATCTCAGCTCACTGCAACCTCTACCTCCTGGGTTCAAGGGATTCTCCTGCCTCAGCCTCTCAAGTAGCTGGGATTACAGGCGCCCGCCACCATGCCCGACAATTTTTATAGTTTTAGTAGAGACGGGATTTTGCCATGTTGGTCAGGCTGGTATTGAACTCCTGACCTCAGGTGATCCACCTGCCTCAGTCTCTCAAAGGCTGGGATTACAGGCGTGAGCCACCATGCCCGGCCTCTGGCTCTCTCTTTGAAGCAAAGGAAAGGAAAGTGAAGAGCTGATGATTCCATTGTTTTCTAGGCTGTGACTGAAGATGCTACAGGGGTAGCTAGGGCAAGGGCTCCATGGCCGCCTCCCTCGCTGCGGCCCGTGGAGCTGCGTCTGCCTTCACAGAGCACTCCAAAAGCCATAAATGCGAAGGCCAGCCGCAAATAAGCCCTTCAAACTGGTAATAAAGAAGTAGGTTTGACACAGAAAGCACACTGTTAAGTATGGAATGTGCTGAAGCCTGGCATCTGAGGAGGGAGGGTTGGCATTGCCTCTCTAAGCCTGAGAATGGCGTGGGCACAGCCACTTGCCATTCATTATTGGTGGTGGGGTGGGGGGAGGTCTGCGTTTGGAACCCCTCCCTGCGTGTGAGCAGATCCTGCCTCCCACCTAGAAACCGAGACCACTGGCTGTGCGTGCCTACTGCCTTCCTGCAGGCACACAGGCCTCTTCGGGGCAGCTGGTCCTGGGCTGCGGTGCCTCCTCCATTGGCTGCAGGGGCTTCTGTGGCTATACTGGGGAGTTTCTACCTCATTCCACCGGAGTTCTTTCCTGCTGGGGGTTAGGACGATGGCACCACGGTGAGAGGGGCCCTGAGTTGGCAGAAGGCCGTGGCGGAAGGAGGAAGAGAGGAGGGAAGCAAAGGCAGAGGACAAGGCAGAGGCCACCCCCAGGTGGGGCCGCCTTACCCACCACCCCTGGAGACTGAGTGGTGGGGAAGGTGGCACTGGTGTGGCTGGTCGGCCTCTGTGCCTGGGCAGCTTGTAGCCTGTCCAGGTGTCAGGGCCGTTAGCTCTCCAATGCTGGTGGCTGTTCCCCCGGAATGGAGGAATCGATTCGATTTCAGGTTTGTGATTTATACAACAAAACACTTCATTAATTTAACCCTTTATTGCTATATAATAGGCAAACTGCATATACTCAAAGTACACGCTTGGGTGAATTTTCACCCAGAAGCCATCGCTGCTGTCAGAAGGTGAGCCTGGTCCCTCCTCATGCCCAGAGGCTCCTCTACACTTCATGGCTGTGCCCAGCCCACCCCGGCCACCCACTGCTGGGCTTTCTATTGTTGGCTATGGACTGGTCTGTGTGTCTCGGTTTTATAGAAAAAGGCTCTCGCCGTGTGTGTCTTTCCCTTGCGTCTTTAAGCCGAGATCCCCCTTTTCGTCACCTGAAGTGCCCATTGTGTGCTTGTGTTCGTTTGTTTACCCGTCACCTGGCGGTGGACATTTAGGTGTTTCTGATTTTTGGTTGTTACTGATAGAGATGCTGTGAATACTCATGGCTTCATTTCTCTTTATTAAATTCCTAGTTCATATGATAGGTATGTGTTTAACATTTTCAGAGACCACCAGTAGCTGGGCATGGTGATACACACCTGTGGTCCCAGCTACTTGGGAGGCTGAGCCCAGGAGGTCAAGGCTGCAGTGAGCTGAGATTGCACCACTGCATCCCAACCTGGATGACAGAGTGAGACTCTGTCTTAAAAAAAAAACAAAACAAAACTGCCAAACTGCTCTCCAAGTGATTGTACCATCTCTAGTGTACAAGAGTGCGCTCATCCATTCTCACACTGCCATCAGGGTTCGACCTAAGACTGTGTAATTTATAAACTAGAGGTTTAATTGACTCACAGTTCAGCATGACTGGGGGCCCTCAAGAAACTTAACAATCATGGCAGAAGGTGAAGGAGAAGCAAGGCACATCTTACATGGTGGCAGGAGAGAGGCTGAGGGGGTTGAACCACCCGTTAAAACCAGCTCTGGTGATGAGAACAGCGTGCTGGACCCACCGCCATAATCCAATCAGATTCCTTCCTTGACACGTAGGGATTACAATTCAAGAAGAGATTTGGGTGGGGACACAGAGCCAACCCATTTCAGAGTCCTGGTTCCTCCACATCCTTCCCAACACTTAGTATTGTTAGTCTTTAAATTTTACCCATTTTACTAGGTGTGTAGTGATGTCTTGTTGTGATTTTAGTTTTCAGTCCTTTCCTTTTCATTTCTTTAATGACTGTTGGTGTTAAGCCTGTCCGTATGGATGGGCTTATTTACCATTCATGTATCTTCTTTAATGAAGGGTCTGTTCAAGTCTTTTTCTTGTTTATTATTGGGTATTTTTTTAATTCTGGAGTTTTAAGAGTATGTTATGGATACAAGTCCTTTATCAGAGGTATGCTTTACAGATCTGTCTTTGGAAGTACAGAATTTTAAAAGCTTTTATAAAGTTTGGTTTATCAGTTTTATTATTATTATTTTTTTTTTTTTACTGGATCCTGCTTTTGGCATTCTGTTTAAGAAATCATTCCCTAATCTGAGAACCCAAAGACATTATCCCACATTTTCTTATAAGAGTTTTATGGTTTGTGTTTTATTATAGTCAATTTTTGTATATGGTGTGAGGTATGGGTTGAACCTCCTTTTCTTTCATTTTTTTGTTGCTGTTTTTGTTTGTTTTTTTGTTTGTTTGTTTGTTTTTAGACGGAGTCTCACTCTATAGCCAAGCTGTAGTGCAGTGGTGCGACCTTGGCTCACTGCAACCTCTGCCTCCCAGGTACAAGCAATTCTCCTGCCTCAGCCTCCTGAGTAGCTGGGACTACAAATGAGTGCCACTACACCCAGCTAATTTTTGTATTTTTAGTGGAGATGGAGTTTCGCCATGTTGACCAGGATGGTTTCCAACTCCTGACCTCATGATCTGCCCACCTTGGCCTCCCAAAGTGCTAGAATTACAGGCGTGAACCACCACACGTGGCCTTCCTTTCCTTTCTTTTCTTTTCTTTTTGCTTGTAGATGTCTTGTTCAGTGCCATTTGTCGAGAAAACCATTCTTTCTCTGTATAGTTGACTTTGTACCTTTGCTTCAAGTCCTCATGTGTGTGTGTCAGTCATCCATGTGTCAGTCGTCCACATGTGTCAGTTGTTCACCTGTGTGGATCTATCATCTGTGTGAGTCCATTGTCCGCATGTGTCAGTCATCCAGGTGTGTCAGGCTTCCACATGTCAGTCATCTGCATGTGTATCAATCGTCTACGTGCCAGTCATCCACATGTGAGTCAGTCGTCCATATATGAGTCGGTCATCTACGTGTGTCAGTCATCCACATGTGTGAGTCGGTCATTCACGTGTGAGTCAGTCATCTGCATGTGTGTGTCAGTCCACATGTGATTTGGTCATCTGCATTTGTGTGAGTGTATCATCCACATACGAGAGTCAGTCGTTCATGTGTGTGTTGGTGTGTGTGTGTTAGTTGTCCACATGTGTGAGTCAGTCATCCATGTATGAGTCAGTTCCCTGCATGTGTGAGTCAGTCCCCCACGTGTCAGTTGTCTGCATGTGTTGGTCATCCACATGTGTGTGAGTCAGTTGTGTGCATGTGTGTCAGTCATCCGCATGTGGCAGCCTTCATGTGTGAGTCAATCATTTTTGTGTCATCCACATGTCATTTGTCCATGTGTCAGTCATCTGCATGTGTCTGAGTCAGTTGCCCATGTGTCTGTCCATGTGGGTGTCAGTCATCCACGTGTGAATTGGTCATCCACGTGTGTGTCAGTCGTCTGCATGTGTGAGTTGGTCATCCACGTGTCAGTTGCCCACATGTGAATCGGTTGTCTGTGTGTCAATCATCCACATGTGCATCAGTCATCCGCATGTGTGAGTTGGGTGTGTGTCAGTCATCTGCATGTGAGAGTCAGTTGTCCACATGTGAGAGTCAGTTGTCCACATGTGTAAAGCCAGTTGTCTGTATGTGTGTGAGTCAGTTGTCCACGTGTGTGAGTCAGCTCCAGGGCCCTCTCTTCTGATGCATTGATCTGCATATCTGCCTGTAGGCAACTACTGCCCTTGATCGATACAGCTTTACAGTGGGTCCTGCGGACTCATTTCTCCACTCCCAAACTTGATGCTGCTGTTCTCCCACGTTTTACCCATTCTCCCACGTTTTACCCATACGTATGTTCTGAACACTGTAATAGCCATATGGTTCTTCTGTTTAGGCAGTCAGTGGTTTTGTTTTTTTTGCTTTTGGAGACAGAGGCTCACTCTGTTGCCCAGGCTGGAGTGCAGTGATGTGATCTCAGCTCGCTGCAACCTCCTCCTTTCTGGTTCAAGTGATTCTCCTGCCTTGGCCTCCCAAGTAGCTGGGGATTACAGGCGTGTGCCACCATGCCCAGCTAATTTTTTGTGTTTTTAGTAGAGACAGGATTTCACCATGTTGACCAGACTGGTCTTGAACTCCTGACTTCAGGTGATCCTCCCGATCTGGCCTCCCATCGTGCTGGGACATGAGCCACCGCGCCTGGCCGAGTCATCTCTGCAGTTGCTCCTGCCATCCCCATCCCTGTCCTCCCAGGCTTCTCCACCTTGGTGGGCTCATGCTTCCTTCCACCAGCCTCACTCCTTTACCTTTCCTGTGCTGTAGATTTGCATGTGATGACCTCTTACAGTTTTTTTTTTGAGACAGAGTTTTGATATTTCCCCAGCCAGGGGTGCAGTGGCAGTCTCAGCTCATTACAACTTCCTTCCAGTTACAAGCGATTCCTGCCTCAGCCTCCCAAGTAGCTGAGATTACAGGCGCCAGCTACGGTACCTGGCTAATTTTTGTATTTTGAGTAGAGACAGGGTTTCACCATGTTGGCCAGGGTGGCCTCGGACCCCTGACCTCATGATCCACCCAGCTTGGCCTCCCAAAGTGCTGGGATTACAGGCTTGAGCCACCGTGCTTGGCCCTCTTGCAGCTCTTTAATACCTGGAACGTCCTTATTTAGCCTTCATTTTTGAAAGATATTTTTAGAATTCTGGATGCATAATTATTTCCCCAGTGCTTTAAATGGCGGCTTCCTTGGGTCCTCACCTACAGTGTTTGCAGTGAGAAATCCATCATCACCACGCAGTTGTTTCTCTGTGTATAACGTGTCTTTTTTATATGGCTGCTTTTAGAATTTTTTTCTTTATCTCTTGGTTTTAGCAATTTGATTTTCCTCTAAGCCTTAGTTTGTCTGTAGAGCATTTGATTATCGATTGCCTTGGTATTACTTTGTGTGTGTGCACTTAGGGTTCATTGAGCTTCTTGGATCTGTGGATTTAGGGGTTTTGACAATTTAGAAAATTCTCAGTCATTATTCCTTCAAATATGTTTTCTGTCCATCGCCCTTTCCAGTATTCCAGCTGTTTATGTAGGAGACTGCTCCGAGTGGCTCCACAGCTCACTGGTGCTCTTTTCAATTTTTAAACATTATTTTTTCACTCTGTTTCAGTTTAGCAGGTTTTTATTGACATGTCTTCTGATTCACTAACACTTTCTTCTGCAAATGATGCCGTCAACTCAGCCAGTGTGTTTATATTCCAGGCATTGTAGCTTTCAACTCTAAAAGTTATGATGGCATCTTTTAAACATTTCCTAACATGTTTGTACTTAACTTTCGAACCCGTAGGATACAGTTATACCAATGGCTTTATTTACTTACATTTTTTTTTTTTTTTTGACGCAGGGGTGTCGCTCTGTCACCCAGGCTAGAGTGCAGTGGCACAATCTCGGCTCCCTGCAACCTCCACCTCCCGGGTTCAAGCTATTCTCCTGCCTCAGCCTCCCAAGTAGCTGGGATTACAGGGTCCTGCCACCACACCTGGCTAAGTTTTGTATTTTTAGTAGAGATGAGGTTTCACCATGTTGGCCAGGCTGGTCTCGAACTCCTGACCTCAGGTGATCCACCTGCTTCAGCCTCCTAAAGTGCTGGGATTACAGGCGGGAGCCACCGTGCCCTGCCAGCCAGCAGCTTTAATTACCTTGTTTGCTGATCCAGCATCTGCGTCAAAGCTGGGTTTTTGGATTGACTGGGTTTTTCTCCCCATTGTGGGTAAGTTTCCTGCTTCTTTGCATGTCTGGTAACTTGTAGCCGATGTCAGACATGGGTGAGTTTTACCTTGTAGGGTGCTGAGCACTCTTCTTCCTATGAATGCTCTTGAACTTTATTCTGGAACTCAGCTAAGTCACTTGAAATCAGTCTGATCGTGTTGGATTTTGCTTTTCAGGTTTCTTAGGTGGGTCTGGAGCCACTGAGGCAGGTCCCTCCACTGTCCTCCAGCCCACAGCCTGTGGCCGGAGAGTGTGGCCTGCCTGCTGTGGGGAAACGCCCTGGCTTTCAGTGCGCCTCCTCACTGGCTGTGGCTGCTGGCGCCCTGCTGGATGTCCAGGTGGATCTCCAGAACCTCTCTCGGAGCTCTGCTTCCTGTCTGAGCATCCGGGGGCCCTGCCTGGCTCCCTCCCGCACCAGGGCTGGAGCTCCCCAGGCAGTGGCTGGGCTGCTGTGGGCTCCCTCACGGGTTCCATCTCTCAGGGGCACAGTCCTTCCCTGCCTGGTCTTGGCAGCCATGGTCACAGGTTTTGACTCTTGTTTCATGCTCTGGTTCTTGGAGGTGGGAGGGTAAGTCTGTTCTGGTCCATCTCACCCTGTCATGTCGTGAGTGCAGGTGTTCACCAGGTGTAGGCCAGGCTTCTCCTAACTCTGTGGACCTCAGAAAGGCCGGACCTTTGAACAGTCCCAGGGTGGAAGGATCTTAGGTGAACTGGAAGCTCTCAAAGATTTAATTCTGTGGCGGGGTGTGGTGGCAGATCACTTGAGTTCAGGAGTTTGAGACCAGCCTGGGCAACATGGCGAAACACCATCTCTACTAAAAATGCAAAAAAATTAGCTAGGCCTGGTAGCACGTGCCTGTAATCAATCCCAGCTACTGGGGAGGCTGAGGCATGAGAATCGTGTGAACCCCGGAGGCGGAGGTTGCAGTGAACTCAGTTTGTGCCACTGCACTCCAGCCTGGGTGACAGAGTGAGACTCTGTCTCTAAAGAAAAATAAAAAATGTAATTCTGGTTATAAAATCGTAAATCATTCTGATAAAAGAAAAAGAAAAGAGGCTCCTAAGCAAGCAGTGTTTTGTTCAGGGAGCTCTGAAATGTATGGAGGAGGAATCCAGAAACAAAGACCAGAGGGATGGAAGAGAAAGCCCCAGGGCAGCGGAGGCTCTTGAGGAAGTCCACTGAGGCGACACAAGGGGGTTTGCTTTTAGTTTCTGCTTAGAAGTCAGGGGAACAATGAGGCCTGTGCCTGGGGCTGGCAGCTGTTTGTGGATGAAGATAACAGTTCTGCTTTTATCTTCACGTCCATTGAGCTGGAAGCATTGATTGTGCCCCTGCTGTGGAGTTGGGAGGGAGACTGTGGAGAGCACTGGGGTGTCACAGAAGAGGCTTTGTCCTTCTCTCTTGGGGGTGAGACCCCACAGACCTGCAGAACCAGTCCCTGGGATGTGGCCAAGGCCCTGCGCCCTCGGTGGGAGGGGCAGAGCTCCAATGGAACCCCATCCGCCAGGAAGCAGAGCCTGTGGGGAGGAGACCTCATCCATGTAGGGGTCTGCCTTGGGCCCCAAGCCTCCTCAGCCTCCACAGCAAAGCAGATTGTCAGGCAGGGCTTGGTTTATGGCGTCTGTGAAGATCACTAACGATTCCCAAGGGGAAAGAGGCTGCAGCCAGCCGGCCCAGACACTAGCAGAGCTGAACCCACTTCAAGAGTGTGAAATGCTCATGACCTTTAATCCAGCAATTCTGCGTCTGAGGGTACGTCCTTGAGAAATAATGCAGAAAAAGAAAAGCACTAAAAACTTGCTGGCATTGTATTCCAGAAATATGCCAACAGAAATTAACAAGTGTTAGGTAAAAGAAAGGTCTGGAGCCTAGTGGCCATCCGTGATCCGTACAGAGGCGGGTCTGATGCCGCCCGGCGGAAGCTGCTCCTCGGGGGGTGCCAACCTGGAGGAGCCCCTGGTAACTCTGGAGGGTCAAGGACAGACGCATCGGGGCAGGAGATGGCGGGGGTGTTCCTCATTCCACTTACTGCTGTTTTATCCCTGGGTGATAAAAGTTAGGGATACTTATTGTTCTGATTTATATTTTTGGCTGCGTGGGGGAGGTGAACATTTTCTCTCGTTTCTGTTTACTGTTCATCTTTTTCGTATGTGAGTTTTTTCTTTTCATATCCTTTACACAACATTTTTTTCAGAATGACAGTGTTCTAATTTACTGTGTAATTATAAATTATCTATATTTTACATGTGGCACAAATATTTCTCCAAATTTTGTTTTATTTAAAAGAGACCTTTTTAAAAGTAATTTTTTTAAAAAATTGAGACGGAGTTTCGCTCCCGTTGCCGAGGCTGGAGTGCACTGGCGCAATCTCGGCTCACTCTAGTTACCTGTATTTTTACTCTTTCCATTTTTCTCTTTTCTTTCATAATAGTCAGTGATTCATTTTTTACTCATTTCCTTTCTGTTTCAGACTTTTTTTTTTTTTTTTTTGAGAAGGAGTCTCACTCTGTCTCCCAGGCTGGAGTGCAGTGGTGCTATCTCGGCTCACTGCAACCTCCACCTCCCAGGTTCCAGCAATTCTGCCTCAGCCTCCCCAGTAGCTGGGACTATAGGCTCATGCCACCATGCCCAGCTAATTTTTTGTATTTTTAGTAGAGACGGGGTTTCACCATGTCGGCCAGGCTGGTCTTGATCTCCTGACCTCAGATGATCTCCCCACCTCAGCCTCCCAAAGCGCTCGGATTACAGGCATGAGCCACTGTACCCGGCCCAAAATTTTAATTTAATCAAATTTGCACATCTGTTTTCGAATCTTTCAAAAGCATTGTCCTCTCCTCTGACTATACCCCTGTTTGGACATGAATATAACTTTTAAAAATAGGCGAAAGAAAAGTGCCTTCAAGTGCTGATGTGTTGAGTTTAGGTTGGTATAATTCTGGATGACCTTTTCCCTATTTTTACAATATTCTTTACTGTGATTGTGTTACTTTCACAATTATGTTATTTTTACAGTGACAAAACAAAAAAGGAAGTGCCTTCCAGAGTTGAGATGGGCGCTGGGTTCCTACGTGGTGGCCTGTGGCACCCTTTCCATCAGGCCCTTGCTGGGGGCGGCCACGCAGGCTCTGGAGCCTCTCCTCGGGTGCTTGGGACTGCAGCTGCTGTCACCCGTGTGAGCCAGCAGGAAGCCTGCACTGACCTCTGGCTTGTGTCTCTGTTCAGGAGGAGAACATTTGCCTGCACTGGGCGGCATTCTCTGGCTGTGTGGACATAGCTGAGATCCTGCTGGCTGCCAAGTGTGACCTCCACGCCGTGAACATCCACGGAGACTCACCACTGCACATTGCTGCCCGGGAGAACCGCTACGACTGTGTCGTGTGAGTGTGATGCTTCCCCTGGCTGGGGGCTGGCGGTGACCCGGGAGCCCAGAGAGATCCCTTGCCGGTCATGTGTTCACACTAGACCTCAAGTGGACACGGGCCTTCTGTTCCCTCGTGTGGAAGTGCACCCTTGCTGTTCTACGCTCAGAGAAGTGTCTTTCCCAGTCCGTATTTGAGATCAGCCATGGTTTATTTCTGGGTTAGGGAGGATTGTCATGAAAAATTCCCACGTTCTTAGATCAGACCTTGAGTCTCAAACCTGATGCTCCTGACGTGGGTGAGGGGTAGCATGGGAACAGCCCTGCTCCCAGCAGGGACCTGCCAGCTCAGAGGCCCTGAGAGGCTCAGGGTGCCTTCTGGGAGCAGCACTGCCCACAGCCAGGGCTGGAGATGCTTAGGGCTCTGGCGCTTACTGCTCAGGGCCCTTTTAAAACTTGAGGCCTTCAGCTGGGTGGCGGTGGCTCACACCTGTAATCCCAGCACTTTGGGAGGCCAAGGTGGGCGGATCACTTGAGGTCAGGAGTTTGAGACCAGCCTGGCCAACATGGTAAAACCCCATCTCTACTGAAAATACAAACATTAGCCAGGTGTGGTGGCTCATGCCCATAATCCCAGCTATTCCAGAGGCTGAGTGAGACAGGAAAATCGCTTGAACCCGGGAGGCGGAGATTGCAGTGAGTGGATATTGCCACAGTACACTCCAGCCTGGGCGACAGAGTGAGATTCTGTCTCAAAAAAAATAAAACCACAAAAACCTTGAGACCTTGATCCCATAAATCACCCACACTTGGGTTGTAGTCAGTGGCCTGGGATGGAGTCTTTGTTTGGCCGCTGGGAAGGACAGGGAGCTGTGGGTGCTCCACGCACCGACCTCCGGTGACTGGCCCCCGCAAGTGGGGCTGTGCCCTCTCACATTTGGACCTCATGATGGCTCAGCCAGGTTGGTCATTTGGTTGTGCAAAGCCCAGCCCCACGCACGGCGACTGCGGTCTCGACGCAGTGGGCAGGAACGGAACTGAGAACTGCTGACGCTGTGCGTGGCCCGTGTGGCCTTTCTCCCTCGGTGCTTCCCTTCTTGTCCTTGAGGGTAAATTTGAATGAAAAATCCAAGAAAAATCAAACGCCACCCTGGTTTTTACACACTCTTCTGCTGAAAAAACAGCCTGATGACTTTGACAGTGAACATGGGTGGGAAGTAAGCGGTGATGTTCCTGAGTAAGGTCAAGCCCATCTTTTTAGAATTGTCGGTCAGCAGACTTGGTAAAGTTGTTTCCAAATGAACAGTGTGCTCCCTCTATTTTTAGTGATGACAGTCATTTCATAAATCTCATCTTTGTGATCTTAAAATCAGCTTTAAATGTTTTCTGGGCTTGCATTTTCCCTTTTAGCCTCTTTCTTTCTCGGGATTCAGATGTCACCTTAAAAAACAAGGAAGGGGAGACGCCCCTGCAGTGCGCGAGCCTCAACTCCCAGGTGTGGAGCGCTCTGCAGATGAGCAAGGCTCTGCAGGACTCGGCCCCCGACAGGCCCGCCCCCGTGGAGAGGACCGTGAGCAGGTGAGCCCCGGCCGGGAGGCTCTGTGGCAGATCAGCGGTCAGCAGGGCTTTGGGAGCTTGCAGTGAAAGCTTCTTCCCAGGCTGGAGTCCAGATTACCAGGGCCAGGTGTTTGCCAGCCGCCCCACTGCACACGGCGCCACGCCCAGGGCAGAGCGCGTCAGCCTCCAGGTGACACCGGCCCTTCTGTGGCAGGGACATTGCTCGAGGTTACGAGCGCATCCCCATCCCCTGCGTCAACGCCGTGGATGGCGAGCCATGCCCCAGCAACTATAAGTACGTCTCTCAGAACTGTGTGACATCCCCCATGAACATCGACAGAAACATCACCCATCTGCAGGTGAGTGACGCGGACCCAGGGCTACTCAGGCCAGGACGTGGGACAAGCAGAGACTTCCTGAGCCTGGGGTCCTGGGTTCTTCTCACCACTCAGAGCAGCAGGGCTCCTGGAAGGCTTCCCAGGAAGACCTCACTCTCTCTGTAGTTGCCTCCCATGAGAGAGCTGGAAGGCAGGTGAAGGTTCTGTCGGGCACATTGCTCTTCCAAGGGTCCTCATCAACCCCAAAGCCGTGGCAAGCATCTCTGATGTTTTTGTGACCTCACACTCAGGGGCCCTGATGCAGCCTTGTGCCCAGTGCGAGGGGAGCCCTTGCGAGGCTGCAGGACCACCTGCGCCCCTGCACCCCCTGTCCCCTGGAGGAGTGGGCCCAGCACATGCTAGCTTCCCCAGCCTCTGAGCACACGGAGCCTGGTGTCCTTACTGCCTGTGCCTTCTTGGGCACTTTCTTTGTGGCTCTGCTTGTAGGCAGCTCCCCTCCTCTTCCCAGGCCGGGCACTGCCCAGGGCCCTCTGCTCAGGGTGTGCGGGGCTCTGCGTTCTCCCCTTTCCCGTCGAGCATCTGGCCACAGATGCAGCCGACGCCCAGCCCTTCACCCACCCTGTGTCACCCGCTGCTGTGTCGCTGCCCTGCCTGCCCCGTCCCTCTGTTGGGACCCTCAGCCAGAGCCCCCACCCGCGGGCCTGTGTCATGTTTCTTAGCACCTCGGGCGTTCTCTCTGAGGGCCTTCTCCCTCAGAGGCCACACACTCACGCGGTGTCTCTGAGAAGCACTTGGCAGATTCAGGGGTAGCTTTGAGAATCGTAAAACATGGTTGTGACCGGGAGGGAGGCGGAGGGCGGGTGCTGCCCGTCTGCCGACTCTGGCGCCTCTCTCCTCAGTACTGCGTGTGCATCGACGACTGCTCTTCCAGCAACTGCATGTGCGGCCAGCTCAGCATGCGCTGCTGGTATGACAAGGTGAGGGCGGCCTCGTGTGCTGGGCTCCGGCGGTAAGTGCTGCTGGTCCGGCTCTGCAGAAACAGTGCAGGTGTCCGTGACTCCAGCACTGTCACAGCAGCATTGGGGAGGCGTCGGAGGTGAGCTGGGTGTGGCCGGCAGGGGAGGCACAGGAGGCGCCGGCACCCAGGTCAGGTCGTGAGCCGAGGACATGGCCGCAGAGGCCCTTTTTGGCCGCCTGGATGGTGGCGGCGGCGGGCAGCTGGTCAGCCTGGCCTGCCCGGGAGGAGGTGCTGCTCGTGTTGTGTGTGTCGGGTGAGCTCTGCCTGTGCTTGCTGAACGTGAGGGGTGTGAACGGGAGGGTACGGCTGCGCTGGGTGCAGGGAGCATCGGTGTGGGCGGAGAGGTTGGGGAGACACAGGCTTGGAAGTCTCTGGTGGGTGCTGGTGCTCAGAGGAGCCTGGGATGGGGGCCGCTGAAGAGATGGGAGTGGAGGGCGGCCCTGGGTAGTAGGGAAGGGCGTCTAAGCAGGGGCAGAGGGTTCCTGGTCTCCCAATCTCAGAGGTCATGGTGGGAGCAGAGGCCAGCATGGCCTGGGTGAAGAGACGCCAGTGGGGAGAGGCAGCAGGCGTCCCCTCCAGAAGCGGACGCTAGAGGAGGGGTGGCCAGGAGGGTGGAATGTTTACCCATCTGAATGAGGGGCCCCTGTGGGAGAAGGATTAGTGCCAGTGAGGGCTATGGGGGTGGCAGGCTCAGAAAGCCACCAGGCTCGTGTCCGAGTGGTGTCTTTTGGGGTGGAATCCTGCTGAGGGGTGAAGGGAGGAGTGTTTTTCCCTACATGGGCGTTGAAGTTTGACCAGAAACTGTCGTGTGTGTGTCAGTTTGAGCCACACTAGGCACTTAGTAGAGATGGGTTGACGTCAGTTCAGTTGAAGGGTGAGTAACCTCTGCTGGGCCCTTGCTGCTCATCTGTCCACAGGACGGCCGGCTCCTGCCAGAGTTCAACATGGCGGAGCCTCCCTTGATCTTCGAATGCAACCACGCGTGCTCCTGCTGGAGGAACTGCCGGAACCGCGTGGTGCAGAATGGTCTCAGGTGAGACGCAGCTTCCTGCACTCTGCTCATGCGTGTATTTGCACGGAGCTCACCACGATATACAAGAACTTCATGTGTTTGGACACACACGTGTGTGTTTGCAAACAGAGCTGACAGTTTACCTCCGAGCCCTTTATCCTCCGGAAATGTCACTTGTGCCATAAATCACCAGCACAGACTGAGGCGTGAGAGAAGCAGCAGATCGTTGGGTCAGTTGAGCTCAAAGCAGAGGAATAGACTTGGCCTAAGAGTGACCTTTGTGACCAAGTTCATGCGTACACTCTTCAGCAGCCGAGGGCTGCCGTAGTTCTCTAAATATTCTCTGTTCTCCGGGATTCTCCAACAGCGAGGTGGTGTCCTGGTGCTTCTCAGGCGGCAGGGACTTGCTCTCCTGGGCTGCTCAGGCTGCTTGTGGAGTCAGGCTTGCCCAGCGCCCTTCGCCGGCCGGGCTCGGTCCCCTGCTGTCCAGCAGCCGCTCTGCTTTCCCCGGGTTCTGGAATGTGCCACAGATGTGAGACTGGGAAAGTCAGAGCCCCTCTGAGTCATCAGGGAGAGCTCTGTCCCACACTTCAATTTGGATGAACACTAATTTCTGTAGTATTGACTTTTTTCTAACTTCAGTAAACTTGGTCCATGCTGGAGGGTGGTCTCTGTCCTTGGTATGTTAGAAAGGCCTGGGGCTGAGGATGGACACACATGGGACTTGGTAGGAGACACATCACGGACAGGCCTACACACGGTATGCATGCCAGACAGGCAGATGAGGCACGTGGTTCTGAGGGCTCCTTGGAGGCCCACATGCTGGGGCCGCCCAGCTGCCCTCCCCCCAGGCCCGTGCAGCCACCCTCTCCCAGCCCAGAGGAACCCCCCACTGCCGCCTCCCCCCAGGCCCGTGCAGCCACCCTCTCCCAGCCCTGAGGAACGCCCCACTGCCACCTCCCCCCAGGCCCCTGCAGCCACCCTCTCCCAGCCCTGAGGAACCCCCCACTGCCGCCTCCCCCCAGGCCCCTGCAGCCACCCTCTCCCAGCCCTGAGGAACCCCCCACTGCCACCTCCCCCCAGGCCTCTGTAGCCACCCTCGCCCAGCCCTGAGGAACGCCCCACTGCCGCCTCCCCCCAGCCCTGAGGGGCCTGTGGGCTGACTGTCGGGAGCAGGCTGGGCTACAGGTGTCACCACAGCCTGGTCCAGCTGGAGGCTTCTCCAGTGTTAGCACCTCTAACCCTCACAATGCCTCGTGGCTCAGGCCCAGCTCTGTCCCCATGTCACAGATGGGGACACCAAGGCACGGCCAGGACCAGTGACTTGCCAAGGTCACAGGCTAGGGTGCCCCAGGCTGATTCCTGGGTTCTCGGCTTCCTGAGAGTGCTCTGCCTGTGAGGTGCCTGCGGCATCTAACGCTTCTGATACAGAACCAGTTTTCTTTCTAGCTCAGTGACATGGCACCCGCTGCTTTTGCTGACCATTGTGGCAAGTGGCTGAGGCTAGCCTGGTCCACCACTACTCTCTGTTTTCCAGGGCAAGGCTGCAGCTTTACCGGACGCGGGACATGGGCTGGGGTGTGCGGTCCCTGCAGGACATCCCACTAGGCACCTTTGTCTGCGAGTGAGTGAGTCCCTGGGTCACCCCAAGACTGGCTGTGGCATGTGTCATTTCTGGGACAGAGGCCCATCTGTATCTGCACTTCAAGAAGCCCCTCTGGGAGCAGGCACATCCCTGGCCTACTGCTGCGTGGGCGGGGAGCGGAGACCCTGGCCCGGAGAACCGAGCTCCGGCTGCCCTGAGTCCTCTGCTGCTGCCCTTGACCAGCTCATGATTGCGTTTAAGAAGACGCTGTCCAGCACGCACAGTTAGTTCTGGGGGAGGGTCATTCTGGGTTCTCAGGTGCCGGACCGCATATGCTGAGTGTTCAGCGTCATCATCCTCGGGCACCTCAACGGAAACCCCCGTTCTGCCACACAGTCCCCGCAAGTCCTCCTGGGGCTCGCGGCGGTTCCTGTGTGCGCCCCGCTCCTTCCCCGTGGGCATGGAGACCGGCTGCGCCTGTCTGTGGGCCGTGCTCGGGGCCTCCCAGGGCCTCGCCTGAACGGCACCTCCCTCTGCAGGTACGTCGGGGAGCTGATTTCCGACTCAGAAGCCGATGTTCGGGAGGAAGATTCTTACCTCTTTGACCTCGACAATAAGGTAGTGTGTTTTGCTGGGCCGGGGCCATGTAGAGCGTGCCGTGAGCTATGAAACCTGAATGCATTTGTCCTGGTAGGGTCCGGGCACAGGCCCCAGGCGCAGGCCAGTCTTAGCGTTGATGCAGATGAGAGCTCTTACAGCTGACAGGAATGGGCTTGCTATAGGTCTACTGAGCTCCACATTCGGAGCTGGCCTCAGTGCTGTGCGCAGCCTGCATGGAGGGACCTCTGACTCTGGAGGTCCCTGAGCCTGTGCAGCCGACTGACCTCTCTTGTGAGAGTAGGGCCTGAAACCCACCAGTGCGATCCTCCAAACTGCAACTGCGTGTCTCGGGTTGGGGCCCAGCAGCCCCTGAGGCGGCAGAGAGGCTGAGGAGGGTGCTGGGTACTTGACAGTGACTGATGGGGCAGGAGTGAGCCTCCCATCGAGCAGAGATCTCCCCCAGCCCACCCAGTCTCCACCACCCAGGTGCCAGAACCACGAGTGGGAGACAACAGGGTCCGCTCCAGGAGCCTGGTGTCGGGAGTTTTCTGAGGCTGGGGTAGGGGTGACTGACCCGTCCCGCCCTCATGCTCCTTCACTGTAGCCCAGTTCCATCATTGCTCTGGATTTCATCCATTGTCTGTTTTAAAACCTCCTGAAACTTGCAGTCACTGCAAGCAGGTGGGGAAATGAAGGTTTTCTCATCTCAAACACCAGCCACCAAGCCACAGAATAAATCTCATTCCTGGAGAATTGGGTACTAGGCAGCCGTCTTCACGGCAGTGGCCCCTGTGGACTGCCATGCCACCCCCAACCCTGGGCTCCGTTCCTGCAGCCACCTTCTAAGGAATAACTGCGGGTGCAATGATTTGTGTTCCATTGAAGAGAAACCAGGCTCTGGAAGGTCACAGTGTTGAGGCATCTCTCCCTGTGCAGTGGTGCTGAGCCCTCAAGGGCCAGTGGCCTCTGTGTGTGTGTGCGTGCACATGTGCAGCGTTGTGGGGGCTCCTCTCTGAGCGCTGCCTATTCCAGCCTCGCCGTGGAGAGACTGCCTCCTGTGGGCTGGTAACATATTCTCATCAAGGCTCTGTTGTCACGTGTGTGCGCACAGCTGTCTTACCTCTGTGGCTTTCTTACTTCCTAATGACGTCTTGTAGTGAACAGAAATTCTTGTTTTTATTCTAGTTCAATTTACCAGTCTTTTCCTAAATAGTGGGATTTTGTAACGTCCTAGTGATATTTTTTGAAAACGTGAATATTTCCCAGAAACAGTCCGGTTTGCTTTTGCGTTGGGTCCGTGTGTAGGTGGACAGCTGTCCTGCTGTGTGGTGTAAGATCAGAGTCAAGGGTTATTTCCCTGTCTTGTCACCTGGCTGACTCAGCACCGTTTGTGGAGAAGATTGTCCTTCCCCACTCAGCAGTGAGGCTGTTGTCATAGCTCAGTGTCCTCGTCCTGTCAGTCTGCAGACTGTTCTCGGCCTTAATTACTTTAGTTATTGTAGTTTACATCTTCTCAACTTAGAGGTTTTTTTTTTTTTTTTTTTGAAAGAGACCAGGTCTTGCTCTGTTGCCCATGCTGGAGTGCAGTGGCAGAGTGACCTTGAACTCCTGGGCTCAAGTGATCATCCTGCCTTGACCTCCCAAGTAGGTAGGAGTACAAGTGTGCACTGCCATGCCCGGCTAATTTTTTTATTTTACGTTTGTAGAGATGGAATGTCACTATGTTGCCCAGGCTGCCCTCAAATTCTTAGCCTCAGGGAATCCTCCTGCCTTGGCCTCCCAAAGCGCTAGGATTACAGGAGTAGCCACTGTGCCCAGCCTCACCATAGAATTTGTGTTTTGCTCTTTTTGGTCTTCATATAAGTTTTGAAGTCATCTTGACAAGTTCTACGGAAGCTCCTGGAGGGATTTGATTGGGACTGCACTGGACCTGTCAGTCAGGTCAGGACACACAAGGCCCTCACTGTACTGTGCTGGTTCTTGAACACGGTAGACCTCTTCATTTCTGAGATTTTTCTTAATTAGCCCCAGTAATATTTTAGGTTTTCTGTGGTGTGGTCTGGTATATCTTTTCTTGGATTTTTTAGATCACGTAGGTTTTGAGATATTTTTCTCTTGGATCAACTTTATTGCAGTCAATTTAAAAACAGTAAGACAAACTAAAGTGTATGGTTTCCGTTTTTACAAATGTACATTCCAGCATAATCAATGCCACAACAAAATGTGGATCATTTCCGTCACCCCAAAATCCCCTGTGAGCCCTTAGTCCCTCCTTCTCTCCTGCCCATCTTTGTAGCTTAGTTTCCCCTGCATTAGAATTTTCTATACATGGAATCCCGTGTCTGGCTCTGCGTGTTTTGTGATTTGCCCAGGGGGCCGCACGTGTCTGTGGCTTGTTCCTTTCTGTTGTGAGCACCGACCCACCCGGCCTCCCTGCTGGTTGATGCTCACCTGTGGGTGGGCCTCCGTCCTTTCCAGTTCTGCTGTCACGAGTGAACCTGCTGCGACTCCCCGAGACTTGTTTTTAATGGACATGAATTTTTATTTCTTTTGAGTAAATGAGGTGGGGTTACTGGTTCATATGACGGGCACCTTTAACTTTAAAAACAGGGCCGGGCGCGGTGGCTCACGCCTGTAATCCCAGCACTTTGGGAGGCCGAGGCGGGTGGATTACGAGGTCAAGCGATCGAGACCATCCTGGTCAACACGGTGAAACCCCGTCCCTACTAAAACTACAAAAAAAATTAGCTGGGCATGGTGGCGCATGCCTGTAATCCCAGCTACTCAGGAGGCTGAGGCAGGAGAGTTGCCTGAACCCAGGAGGCGGAGGTTGCGGTGAGCCGAGATCGCGCCATTGCACTCCAGCCTGGGTAACAAGAGCGAAACTCCGTCTCCAAAAAAAAAAAAAAAAAAAAAAAAAAACCACTAGTTGTCCAAAGCGGCCATAGCACTTCCCGTTCCCACTGCGGTGAGTGAGAGCTCCAGACACCGTGACTTAGCGATTCCCCTGCCTCGGCCTCTGGAGTAGCTGGGATTACAGGCACCTGCCACCACGCCGGCTGATTTTTATATTTTTGGTAGAGACGAGGTTTCGCCATGTTGGCCAAGCTGGTCTCAAACTCGTGACTGCAGGTGACCCACCTGCCTCGGCCTCCCCAAGTGCTGGGATCACAGGCTTGAGTCACTGCGCCGCGCCTAAAACTTGGCTGTTTTTTAACTGGCTGCTTGTCTTGAGTTGTAGGAGCTCTTTCCGTCTTCTGACTCTATCTCATACACGTATAAATATGTGTGTGACGTGAATATTTTCTTAGTCTGTGCCTTGCCTCCTCACTTTCTTAACAGTGTCTTTCAGGAAGTGGAAATTTTTAAATTCTGTTGCCTTTCCACATCCCAAGAATTCCCTGTTGATCCCAGGATTGTGAAGATATTTTCTCCTTTTTAAAAAAGTCTTACATAAAAATGCAAGTTAAGGCCAGGCACACTGGCATGCTCCTGTAATCCTAGCACTTGGGGAGGCCGAGACAGGTGGATCACTCACCTGATCCCAGAAGTCTGCAGTGAGCCCTGATGGAGCCAGTGCACTCCAGCCTGGCCTGTCTCTCAGCAATGTGGGTTTGAAGTGAGAGTTGAGGTTCACTGTGTGCATGTGAACAGTTAATCCGGCACCACTGGTTCTGCTCATACCAGCCAGTGCACATCTGCATCTGGACCATGCTTTGTTCCTTTGATCTGTTTGCTGATCCTGAAACCAGAGCCACATTCTCTTCATTTATAGTAAATGTTGGGAGCCAGGTAGTGTTTGTCCTCACACTCTGTTCTTTTCCAAAACTGTTTCCCTCCTCTGTGTCCTTTGCACTTCCAGACAGTTGAGAGCCCAGGCCGAGGCTGCTGGAATTTCTGCTGAGACTGCACTGAGTCTGCTGGCCGTTAGCACATGGAGCCTCCTGATCCTGCGTCTGTACGTGGCCCAGCGCTCTTTGAGTTGGATCTTTAGTTTCTCAGCAGAGCCTTGTTGCTTTTTTCTTTTTTTCGGCAGAGTCTCGCTCTGTGGCCCAGGCTGGAGTGCAGTGGTGCGATGTTGTCTCACTGCGACCTCCGCCTCCTGGCTTCAAGCGATTCTCCTGCCTCGGCCTCCAGAGTAGCTGGGATTACAGGCACATATCACCACGACCAGCTAGTTTTTGTATTTTTAGTAGAGTCGGGGTTTCACCATGTTGATCAGGCTGGTCTCGAACTCCTGACCTCATGATCCGCCCGCCTCAGACTCCCAAAGTGCTGGGACTACAGGCGTGAGCCCCCGCGCCTGGCGCCTTGTCGCTCTTGCTGTGTGGATCTCAGCACACAGTTAAATGTATTCCTAAAAACTTCAGACTTTTCATATGTTATAAACCATATTTTTAAAATTCCATTTTCTATTTGTTTTTTGGAAATAAATAATATGGAAATACTTGTTTTTTTGTACATTGACCTTGCTAAATGTGCTTGTGAATTCTAGTAACTTTTTGGACTGTTAGGCTTGTCTGCACGTGTGGTCAGGTCACATGTGAGTAAAGACAGTTTTTCTTCTGGAGTTCTGACCTGTGCAGCTTTGTTTCCTGTCTGCGTATTATGGAAGGCAGGGCATAGCATGCTTGTTTTCTTCCTGTCCCTGGGGGAAGCATTGCCCTCACCCTGGCTGATGTTAGCTTCAGGCCTTGTGTAAATGCTCCCTGGGTCGTCAGAATTCACTTCCTTGGCTGTAGGACGAGGCCTCTGCTTCCTTGCTGGCTGGCAGCCGTGAGGCAGCTGTCTTCTTGAGGGCCGGCAGGAGAATATCAGGGTTTGCCACGCTGCCTTCCTCACATCCTGTGGGCCAGAAGCAAGGGGATGGGTTGATACGAGGGAGACTCTTGGGGCTGCCTTACTATGCTACGTCCGTATGAGCTGCTCCCTCTCCCCAAGGCACCTGCCGCACCCATTCCGAGCCACGGCCACACTGACTTCCTTCCTGTCTCTGCAGTCCTGCTTTTTCCATAACA